CTGCCCGCCTTTACGTCCGGTTTACCACCAGCGCCACACATGTCGAAGAACGGAAGCAAGCAGTCGAGGAGTCTATTTCGCTCATCATGGCACATGGGGAACTCCTCCGGCGGGCGGGAGGTGCAGTAATTGCCCGTGAACCTGCCCTGGGATAGGCGATGGCCCTCTCAGCAGGGGCGAGCGTTCAGCTGCCCGAGCTCGCGCGCGGTGATCCTCTCCGCCGAATGCGTAGACACGTACTTGATGAGCTCATGTTCGGCCTCCTCGTTGCTAGCTTCGATGGCCTTCATGACCGCGCTATCCCCTTTTTTGCAAGAGTCCGTCCAAGGTGGGGTCCTTGCCGTTGCGTGGCCGCACTGAACGCAGTCAGAGCGCCCTCCTGCTCGAGGCCGCCGTGGCCGAAGTGGACCACCTCCGCCTGTGCGGACTGCTCGTGCGCCTGCGACAGCTCGATGGCCTTGACCTCCTCGTCGCTAGCCGCCGACCTGCGTCGATTGTCGATGATGGCCTGGGGCAGGAAGACGATGGCCCAATACTCCCGAGCGCCGCGGCCTTTCGCACACCACGCTCCTCGTTGACGCGCCTCCAGTGACCGCCTCCCGTGGCAGTGCCCCCCGACCCATCGCGCCCTGGCAGCGCGCACCGCGCCCACTCCTTCGGCTTGAGATGGGCCGTCTTGCAGCGCGGGCAGCCGTACATGATGTGGCTGTCACCGCCGAGGGCAATCGTGAAGAGAGCTGCCGGTCCCAGCTGCTCGCCCTTTAAGATGGCCTGGTCGAGATACACCAGGTTGACGTTCTGCACGACCCCCTTGCCCAAGCGCTTTGCCAGCTCCTCTCCCATGGCGCGGCACATGGTCGCGACTTGGTCAAGGACTCCTTCTGCCTGTTCCTCATACTCACTGTTCCTGGCCTGTACCAAATGGTCGGGGTCCCCGTGCTTCTCGTCACCGTGGCAGTGGAAGCACATCTGGATTCACGGCTTCGCTGGATTAGGGATCCTGTTGTCGAGCGTTTGTCTATGCTCGCCGCCCCCCATGGCGACATACTCGCGTGCGACAACCGAGCTGATGTGCTGGAAAAAAAGAGGCGTCGCCGTTGTCGCAGGTCTGGGCAAAACTGGAGATCGAGCCAGACTCCCCCCCTGCGATCGTGGCACGCCATCGGGCCGTGGACGATGGCATGGCCACCCTTGCTTCCGACGGTGCCCTCCGCGCCCCTGAACACCCGGGACTTCTTCTCCTCGGGGGCAACCCTCGGACCTGCGCACCCCTCGCGCACCTCACGCCACTCGCCATCGACCTGCCCCTCAAGCGACGGGGAAGGCGACTGGCTTGCGCGCTGGCCAGGGCCTCGTCCCGACGGGTCGATGTCGGGCCACCGCCGCCGCCTGCGCTCGCCCCTTCCCCCGCTGCCGCCTGCGCCGGCGCCGCTCGCTCTCCTCCAGCGCGCACGCGGGGGGCGACCTGAGGCCTCCTCCTCCTCCTCCTCCTCCTCCTCCTCCTCCTCCTCCTCCTCCTCATCCTTTCCTCCTCCTCCTCCTCCTCCTCCTCCTCCTCCTCCTCCTTTCCTCCTCCTCCTCCTTTCCTCCTCCTCCTCCCCCTCCTCCTCCTCCTCCTCCTCCTCCTCCTCCTCCTCCTCCTCCTCCTCCTCCTCCTCCTCCTCCTCCTCCTCCTCCACGCGCATCCGACGCTGCCGGCACGGAGGAGGTTCTGCTTGCTGGCCTGCCGCAGCGCGGCGCTGAGCGCGCACGGCCCAGGGGCCGGCTTCAGCGCCCAACCGCTGCTTGGAAGCGGCCGAGCGCCCAAGCCCAAATGGCCACAGACGCCGGGCCGCAGAGGAGGATGAAGGGGCCCTGGGACACACGAGTAAGTACACACAAGTAAAAGGATGCCCCATGTGTCCCCATATGTTCTGGGTTCGTGTCTCCCCCCCATCTACTTTCCCATCTGTTCTTGGGGATCGACGATGAATTGTGTCTGTGTGTGTGTTTTTCCCCTCCTGAGAGGATACACTCTGGTATTGGCACACGTGGGCATATTCATTAATTATCCCAGTGCGACCCTACCTAGGAGTTGGAGCCCCTAGGAAAGCAGTATTAGTAGTAACAGTAAAGCTAAGCTAAAGCTAAACTAAAGCTAAGCTAAAGCTAAGCTACAGCTAAGCTGAAGCTAAGCTAAAGCTAAGCTGCAGCTAAGCTCAAGCTAAGCTCAGGCTAAGCTAAAGCTAAGCTCAAGCTAAGCTACAGCTAAACTAAAGCTAAGGTAAAACTAAGGTAAGTCAAAGCTAAAGCTAAGCGACAGCTAAGCTAAAACAAAGCTAAAGCTAAGCTCAAGCTAAGCTAAAGCTAAGCTAAAGCTAAGCTACAGCAAAGCTGAAGCTAAGCTAAAGCTAAGCTGCAGCTAAGCTCAAGCTAAGCTAAAGCTAAGCTCAAGCTAAGCTAAAGCTAAACTAAAGCTAAGGTAAAACTAAGGTAAGTCAAAGCTAAAGCTAAGCTACAG